TCATATAAAAAAGTAATTTTAACATTTATTCTTACATATGTCTGTAAATGCATTCCAAAAATGTAGATTTGTATTTTTAAAGACATACGGTTTATTTGAAATGTATTTTTAAAAATATTTTTCATATATTTTGTGATAAAAACACATTTCAACATGCATTGTATATAGATATATATATATATATTTATTGAAATATATTTTGAAATATATTGAATACGCCAAAATTGTAGCATTTCAAATATATGGCAATATATTTGGGAAGAATATTTTTAAAATATATTGCAAATATATTTTTCCTCCATATGGGGGAGGTCTTTATGTAAATAGTACAGATCTCTTCTCCCTGATGATCAGTGTAGCCCCATCAGTGCCACTTGTCAGTGCCCATCAATGCCACATGTAAGTGTCCATCAATGCCACATATTATTATTACTACGAGTTTATATAGCGCCAAAGGGTTTGCTCAGCGCTGTACAATAGGGGGGACAATACATGGCACAGTACAACAACAACAAACAATGTACGAGGGGTAAGAGGGCCCTACTCTTACGAGCTTACAATCTAGGAGGGAGGGGGTAAAAGGTACAGTAGGAAGTGGCTGAGGGGGATGAAGTGGTGGGAGGAATGAGGGAGGATGGCCGTTAGGTGAGGGTGGGGTGGGCTTCCCTGAAGAGATGGGTTTTGAGGGAGCGCCTGAATGTGAATAGGGAAGGCGACAGTCTGATGGATTGGGGCAGTGAGTTCCAGAGGATGGGGGAGGACCTGGAGAAGTCCTGCAGTCGTGCATGGGAGGAGGAGACCAGGGAGCAGGATAGAAGGAGGTCCTGTGAGGAGCGAAGGGTACGGTAGGGTGGTACTTGGTGATAAGGTTGGTGAGGTAGTCAGGGGCAGTGTTGTGAACGGCTTTGTAGGTCAGGGTTAGGAGTTTAAATTTGATGCGTTGGGCAATCGGGAGCCAGTGGAGGGAGAGGCAGAGGGGGGTGGCAGAGGTGGAGCGGGTGGTGAGGTGGATGAGTCTGGCAGCTGAGTTCAGGATGGTCTGAAGCGGGGATAGCCTGTACTTGGGTGCCAGTGAGGAGGGAGTTGCAGTAGTCAAGGCGTGAGATGATGAGGGAGTGTACTAGAAGTTTGGTGGTGTCTGGGGTGAGGAAGGAGCGTATCCCAATGTTGCGGAGGTGGAGCCTGCATGTGTTTGTGAGTGATTTGACATGCGGTTGGAGGGAGAGTTCGCTTCAAGAATGACGCCAAGGACTTTGGCTTGCGGGGCGGAAGTGATAGTGGAGTTGTTGGTGATGATGGATAGGATGGGGGGGGGGTGTTGGCAGGGGGAAAGACGAGAAGCTCGGTTTTGGAGAGGTTGAGCTTGACATCAGAGCTGCCTTTCAGTGCTGCCTATCAGTGCCCATCAGTGTTGCCTATCAGTGCCACCAATTAGTAGTGCTACCTATCAGTGCCAGTCAATTCCGCTTATCAGTGCCTGGCATTGCTGCCTATCAGTGCCAACCAGTGCCGCCTAACAGTTCCAATCAGTGCCAGTCAGTGCCGCCTATCAGTGCCACCTATCAGTGCTAGTCAGTGAAGCCCCATCAGTTCCACCTGTCAGTACCCATCAATGTAACTTGTAAGTGCCCATCCATGCCACATACCCAGTGCCTATCAGTATATATCAGTGCCCATCAGAGCTGCCTTTCAGTACCGCTTCTATCAGCGCCAGTCAGTGTTTGTTGCCTATCAGTGCTGCCAATCAGTGCCACCTATTAGTGCCAGTCAGTGCCGCCTATCAGTGTCCGTCATTGCCGCCTAACAGTTACAATCAGTGCCGCCTAACAGTTTCAGTCAGTGCCACCCATCAGTGCCGCCTATCAGTGCCCATCAGTGCCACCTATCAATGCCATATATGAGTGCTGCCTTTCAGTGCCCATCAGTGATGCCTGTCAATGCCCACAAGTGATGCCAGTCAATGCCATCAGTGCCTCCTCATCAGTGCCGCCTATCAGTGCCCATCACTGCAGCCTCATTAGCGTACATCAGTGAAGGAGAAAAATTACTTATTTACAAAATTTCAGAACAGAAACTAAGAAAAAAATGTTTTTTTAAAAATTTAAAAAAAATTTTAGCAAAAAAATAAAACCCCCAGTGGTGAGTAAATACCAGCAAAAGAAAGCTCTATCTGTCTCAAAAAATTATAAAAAAAATTGTTTTGGTACAATGTTGCATGACTGAGCAATTGTCATTCAAAGTGCGACAGCGCTGACAGCTGAAAATTGGTCTGGCCAGGAAGGGGTTCATCCATACCAGACCCTTATCCGAGCATGCAGCCCCAGCAGGTAAGGAAAGGGGGGAAAAGCAAGTGCCCCCCCCCCCCCCGAACCATACCAGGCCACATGAAAGGCCTATGAAAGGTACCAGGGGCATCTCATGGGACCCCCTACTGACCCCGGGCCCTCGGGCAGTGCCCGAGCTCTCGAATGGTCAGTCCGCCCCTGACTGTCCCACTTATATTGCTATATAAATCCTGTATAATAATAAATATAATACTAATAATAGACCACGAAGGGTCTGTCACATACCTTAGGCAGTGAGTCCTCCCATACAGCTCTGGCTTGAAGGCCACTGGTAGTGGGACAGTAGCCACAGGAGCATGGCGAGGCATGAGTGCCTGGGATCAGTCCAGTAGTAGGTGAGTGAGTGGAAGTCCACAGGCAGGTGAAGAAGCAGGACAGGTTGAAGGTGGACAGCTAGGCACGGATCTTGCTCGGCAGTAGGTTATAGGTACAGCAGGAAGCAAAGTCCAGATGTGGACTTGCTGGACTGATGGACTGTAGCCAGCAGGATGGCAGATGCGAAGTCAGGCGAGCCGGGTCAGTAACAGTCAGGAGCAGGGGCGGACTGACCATTTGGAAACTCGGGCACTGCCCGAGGGCCCGGGGTCAGTAGGGGGCCCCATGAGATGCCCCTGGTACCTTTTTCATAGACTTTTTTGAGTTTGGGCAAGAAAACAGGGGCACCATAATCCCCTATTGTTGTCAGTCCGCCCCTGGTCAGGAGATCAAGCATAGACAGCAGAGAAGTCAGGTCACAGGCCAAGTCAGCAGCAGAGGTACAGTCGGACAAGATCAGGAGGCAGAAGAGTAGTCAAGGCAATCCGGGGTCGGGGCAGGTAGCAGGCAAGCGAAGTTCAGGAACAAGCCGGGTAATATCAGAGGTCGGGCACAAGGACCAGGAACACACTCAGAAGCTGCACACCAAACAGCAATGAGACAAGACTGCAGCCAGCTCAAATAGCCCTTTTTGGTACCTGGATGCACGAGTGCGCATGCGCGCTCTTGCCCAAATCTATGCAGCCCGTTCTTGTTCTGCGCATGCGCATATTTATGCATCGTGAACCCTCACTTGCACTATGAACAAGCCTTTCCTAGCAAGGTCCATATATGAGGTATTAATAGGCATGTATAAATCAAGATGAGAAGACAAACATCCCCAATGTGATCAAAAATCCTCCTCATGCACCTTCCGTCCAATGATTGGACCAGCACCAGGGGCGGACTGACCATTTGGAAACTCGGGCACTGCCCGAGGGCCCGGGGTCAGTAGGGGGCCCCATGAGATGCCCCTGGTACCTTTTTCATAGGCTTTTTTGAGTTTGGGCAAGGACACAGGGGCCCCATGATCCCCTATTGCCCAGGGGCCCCATGAGTTATCAGTCCGCCCATAACCAGCACTGACCAGTTCTGAGACCCAGCATAGACACAAACGCCATCTCCAATAGAGGATACAGGTTGTGCCCTATGGGCAGATTTGTTCATCCAAGTTCTTGTCCCGGGAGCCAGATATCAGCAGAACAGAAAGTGAGAAGAATCTCACCAATAGGAACTCAGACACTAACCAAAATGACAGAGGTTCTACATCCTCAGTCCTAGAGGCCAAGACTAAGTCCGAGAGTGGGTGAAACATGTTAGAGGGGTGTGGCTTGGGAGATAAAGCCAACTTGATACACATAGGACCAGGTGTGTGTGCTTTCACTTTTCCTGTTATCGTTTGTCTATCATGCTAAACAAGCCCATTTGAACTTAGAACAGCGCTTGGAATCACTAGGTTCAGAATTGTGGGATTGTGGGCCTTGTTTTTTTTTTTTTAGTCGAGTCTGAAAAATATATATTTTGTGTATCTGAAAAATCACCAAATCTATACTATAATATATACAGTGCACTTCATATTTTATATAGCTGAAGTAACACAGCTGAGTGTTGGGTTCAGGGCAGGTCAGCACTGAGGAACACCAGAAGAATTCCTCAATCCAGCAGTTCCCGGGGGCACATGTGTCAAATACAAGGACCATGGTCCAAATCCGGCCCACCAGGCCATTTCATGTGGCTCTTGAACCTCTCCTGCAGCTGCTGCACTCCCCTCGTCTACGCCCCCACCTTATCTCAGCCATTGGCAGAAGAAAGGAGGACAGAAGTCCTTTGCCAGATTCTGCTCTTCTTGTGCAATCAAGGAGAGTCTCCCCCATCTCAGACAGTCGGCAGCAGAGAGGAGGACAGAACTCCCTTCTACAGATCCTGTTCCTCTTGTGAGCACCTTCTCAGCCTCGCCTCTCCTGGTCTTAGCATTCAGCTGACTCCAGCCCTCCTCTGTTCCTCCTTCAGACCCATCTGCTTCCCAGCTCCATCTTCCCAGCAACAGCACAAGGTAAGGGAGGTGAACTGTGATATAATGGAGGCTGGGGGACTCTTGACTTCTGATAGTGGGGGCGCTGTTGACATCTGAAGTAAGGGAGGTTGGGTGCTCTGGACATCTACTCTTACAGATACTACCCAGCCCTTTCAGGTCAACCATCAGTCATACACACAACATTTTTACAGCGGCTGTTTTTAGCTTTTGATATTTTTATTTTACAGCCAGTAAACCCCCCAGCATGTTCTCCTATGTGTCCATCCCCAGCATGTTCTCCTATGTGTCCATCCCCGGCATGTTATCCTATGTGTCCATCCCCAGCGTGTTATCCCTATGTGTCCATCCCCGGCGTGTTATCCTATGTGTCCATCCCCGGCGTGTTATCCTATGTGTCCATCCCCAGCATGTGTATCCTATGTGTCCATCCCCAGCGTGTTATCCAACGTGTCCATCCCCGGCATGTTATCCTATGTGTCCATCCCCGGCATGTTATCCTATGTGTCCATCCCCGGCATGTTATCCTACGTGTCCATCCCCGGCATGTTATCCTATGTGTCCATCCCCGGCGTGTTATCCTATGTGTCCATCCCCGGCATGTTATCCTATGTGTCCATCCCCGGCATGTTATCCTATGAGTCCGTGCACACATAGACTGGAATCAACGTTTTTTGGCAGGGGCGTGTTTTGGCTGGAAAAAAATCCAGAACTAGTAGGTCTATCATGAATTCTGCTGCCAGACTCATCCACCTTACTAACCGTTCTGTATCTGCCACCCCTCTCTGCCAATCCATCCACTGGCTTCCCATTGCCCAACGGATAAAATTCAAAACATTAACAATAACATATAAAGCAATTTGTAGCTCTGCCCCAAATTACATCACCGATCTTGTCTCCAAATATCACCCAAACCATCCTCTCTGCTCTTCACAAGACCTCCTACTCTCTAGCTCCCTTGTCTCCTCCTCCCATGCTCATCTCCAGGACTTCTCCAGAACCTACCCCATCCTCTGGAACTCTCTACCCCAATTCATCAGACTATCGCCTACTCTGCTCACTTTTAGGCAATCACTGAAAACCTATCTCTTCAGGTAGACCTATCCTGACCTCAGCTAATAATGGAATCTTCTATTCCTCCTACCAGTCCATCCCCCACAGTTACTACCTTTTGTACCACTAGCCCCTCCCTCTTAGATTGTAAGCTCCAAGGATCAGGCCCCTCCTAACCCTCTTGTATTGAACTGTATTGTTGCTGTATTGTCTGCCGTTATATTGTAAAGTGCTGAGCAAACTGTTGGCGCCATAAATCCTGTATAATAATAATAATAAACGCTCTAATTGAGAAATGCAGAAAAGCGTTGTACAATGTGGTAAATCACAGCAAACCAGTGTTTGAACAAAAAAAAAAATGGGGGGGTCAAGTAAAACTCAAAAAAATGCAAACACAAAAAACGCAGCAAAACGCAAATACAAAAACACTAAAAAAATGCAGAACAAATCAAGTTTTTAACGTGACTTTACACAGCTAATGTTACCAGCGTTATTAAAAGCCTAATGGAGCCTAATGCTGATGCAGCCCATAAAAAAATTGAGTTTGACTCCCCTGCCGTAGGGAGTAAGTGCTAGTAATCTACTGTAGAAAACATCATAAATAAGGATTTATTTCAGCTTTGAATGTATACCAGGGGCGGGCTGACCATTTGGGAACTCAGGAACTGCCCGAGGGCCCTGGGTCAGTAGGGGGCCCCATGAGATGCCCCTGGTACCTTTTCATAGGCTTTTTTGGGTGTGGTTTGATTGTGGGCGAGGACACAGGGGCCCCATGATCCCCTATTGCCCGGGGGCCCCATGAGTTGTCAGTCCCCCCTTGATGTATACCTATTTGTTTTAGAAACATTTAATTGCAACATTTTTTTGTATTTTTATTTTTTACTGACTTGTAACAAAATGTAACGGTTGAGTTTGTATTGGACAGGTTAGGATCATGGCAGCCACGCATCATTAAACACGGACAGCTACAGGAAATGGTTGCTTTTTCGGCATCATCTTCTTGGGAATTTGACAGACAATCAACTTTTTTTTCATTTTGTCAAGGCCAAGAGATCTCTGTCAATTCGCACTGTAAAGAGAAGGCTTAACCATGAAATTCCAAACAAAGCTCTTTTATGTCAGAAAAATGCTCAAACATTCGAGCGGCTGTCAATACGACAAGGAATCATTCACAAAGCGAGGACTGAATTTTGTCCAGTAAAAAGTTTAAAACTGAACACCATCAATCTCATTAAGGCTGCTTTCACACAGAGGAGTTTTTGAAGCGTTTGTGTGTTAAAAAAAAGCGCCTGAAAAGCTCAAGAAAAACGCTTCCCTGTGTATGTACAGTGGGGCAAAAAAGTATTTAGTCACCCCAATTGTGCAAGTTCTCCCACTTACAAAGATGAGAGAGGCCTGTAATTGGCATCATAGGGAGACCTCAACTATGAGAGACAAAATGAGAAAACAAATCCAGACAATCACATTGGCTGATCTGGAAAGAATGTATTTGCAAATTATGGTGGAAAATAAGTATTTGGTCAATATGAAAAGTTCATGTCAATACTTTGTTATATATCCTTTGTTGGCAATGACAGAGGTCAGACGTTTCCTGGAAGTCTTCACAAGGTTGGCACACACTGTTGCTGGTATGTTGGCCCATCCTCCATGCAGATCTCCTCTAGAGCAGTGATGTTTTGGGGCTGTCGCTGGGCAACACGGACTTTCAACTCCCTCCAAAGGTTTTCTATGGGGTTGAGATCTGGAGACTGGCTAGGCCACTCCAGGACCTTGAAATGCTTCTTACGAAGCCACTCCTTCGTTGCCCGGGCGTGCATTTCCTGTATCCAGTAGCAACAGTTGGATCAGTCACTGGGAGTGAAGCGACAGGAATTGCTGGGTTGGTGAAGACCAGTACATGCTCCTCAGTACCAGCACAGAAATGCTGCACCCCTGGGAAAGTGGTGTTCTCTAACAGAAGTTGTATCCTTAGTGTTCACAGTGTGGGAAGTATGGTCATGGACAGGGGCGGACTGACAACTCATGGGGCCCCAGGCAATAGGGGACCATGGGGCCCCTGTGTCCTTGCCCACACTCAAAGCACACCCAACCATGGACCACCTGAGCAAGGGGCAAACAATGGGCATATGGAGGTATACCCATTCTACGGCATGAATTAGGAGGGGGGTGCAGTAGAGAGATATCTTCTTACATCCTAATCAGGGCCAGGACAAGGGGTGGGCAAGAGGGACAAATGCCCAGGGTATAGTAGTAGGAGAAGCAGGGGTGTATTTACCACAAGGCAAACAAGGCATTTACCTAGGGCAGCATTTTTCAAGGGGGCAGAGGCATCTTTCAGGGGGCAGCAGAATTTCTCAGGGGGGCAGCACTGCCCCCCAAAGGAAGAAATGGAAGAAGGGACACATGCAGCATGGGGACCAGGTTGGATCTGAGAGAGGTTGCAGGCTGCTTGATGGTGTATGCAGAGCCTGACTCTTGTTCCCGGGGATGTCCGGAGCTGTGAAGGTGTCTTTTCTCTCGCAGGGTCGGGGGTGTTGCTGGTGTATGGGGGGCGGTGGTAGTGGAAAGCTCTGTCGGGTGGGGGGGCTGGGGTGCTGTTGATCAATGTCAGGCTCTCTTCATGGGGGAGGGGGGTGCTGCTCAGTGTCAGGGTCTCTCCGTGAAGGAGAGAGCCAATGTTTGTGTTGCCCAGGGCAGCACGAAACCTAAATACATCACTGTGGAGAAGGCACCCCCTTACTGCATGCAAGCTCCAGATTAGTGGCTAGAAGCCAGCGGGCTGCAGTTTCATGTCTGCTGTGATAGTTACTGCGGTCCCACTGTGCTCCAAGATGACCGCTCTCCAACCCATCCAACCACAGTTAACACAAAAAAAAACACTGAGCATGTGCAACTACTTCTGTAGCCACAAGAAAGCAAGCAATTGCCTATGCATGGGCAATGCACACTCCATGCCAACCATGGACCACCAGAGCAAGGGGGCAAACAATGGGCATATGGAGGTATACCCATTCTACGGCATTAATTAGGAGGGGGGGTGCAGTTCTGCATCCCTGCCCTGGGTTCTGGATGAATCTGTCCCAGTTGTGATCCTAATGTATCTTCATGACCCCAAGAGGAAACACACGGCGAAGAAAAAAAAATACTGACTGGGGTGTTAACTGTCCTCTACTCAACTAAAGAGATAAATTGCTTTAGATACACATTAAGGAAAGTGAAACAGCAACCGGATCTTTTGGTTTTACAGCCCCTGAAATGAATAAAGTGATTATCACCTTGTCCTTGCCCAGCTTGCTGACCTTCAGTTGTATTTCAGAGCTGACTTACTAGAGTACTTTTGTAATACAATATGTCACCATCCAGATATATTCAATTAATCTGTGCATCTACAGGAATTGTGCTGACATTTGCCCTGCTGGCTTCTGTTGCACGGCAAACCATATGGAGAGATTTTCGTCAGTCAAAGCATTTGGCATCTACTGGAATAGGTTCACTTTACTGACCTGCACAGTATATACTATGAATTTATAAACATTCCATCCAGACGTGTCAGAAATTGCAGACATTGATTTCAATTTTCTGAGTTTTGGTATGTTGGAGAACCTTCAAGGAACCACAGATCGATACTGCTTACACTACATACCAAAAAAAAGGATAAAGTGCATTAAAATGTTACTAAAAAGTAAGAGCTTTATATACTAAATGGCACATTATCCTACAATGGTTCCATATGCTGAGTGTGAATGCATACATGTGCTAGTCTTGCTCAACCAAGGTTCCATGGAATCAGAAGGTTCCTCCAGAGGGTACTGGGGGTTCCTTGAGCAATCAGAAATATTTGCCTCTCAGAGGGGCAATCACTGACAACAATAGGTACATACCCAAAGCCATGACTCCAGACTTGCTCCTTTCATCCCACACAGACGACCCAGGTGCTGTCTACCACAACCTGTGCCGTCTCCACCTGTCCCACTGCCCCCCTCCTGTCCCACACTCCCCGTCATGCTGCCCCCCACCTGTCCCGTGCCCCCCCCGTTGTGATGCCTCCCTCCTGTCCCGCTGCCCCCCACCTGTCCCATGCCCCCATTTTGCTGCCTCCCACCTGTCCCACTGCCCCCCCTGTCATGCTGCCCCCCACCTGTCCTGTGTACCCCCGTCATGCTGCCCCCCACCTGTCCCGTTGCCCCCCCATCATGCTGCCTCCCTCCTGTCCTACTGCCTCCCATCTGTCTCGCGCCCCCCATTTCGCTGCCTCCCACCTGTCCCTCTGCCCCCCTGTCATGCTGCCCCCCCACCTGTTCTGTGTCCCCATCATGCTGCCTCTCTCCTGTCCTGCTGCCCCCACCTGTCCCACGCCCCCCATCATGCTGCCCCCACCTGCACCGTGCCCCCCTATCATGCTGCCTCCCTCCTGTCTCACTGCTTCCCACCTGTCCTGTGCCCCCCGTTTTGCTGCCTCCCACCTGTCCCGTTGCCTCCCACATGTCCCATTCCCCCCGTTCCGCTGCCTCCCACCTGTCCTGCTGCCTCCCATCTGTCCTGTGCCCCCCGTTTCACTGCCTCCCACCTGTCCCGCTGCCCCCACTTGTCCTGCTGCTCCCCTCCTGTCCCACTGCATTTTATGTGACAGTTGTGTCAGGGACTATCACCATTCATCTATGTATTGTGATGTTTTGTAACCAATACTCTTAAATAGTGTTTTTAAACTTAATTTTTGCTTTTGTATGGCACCTTAAAAGTTCCAATGCAAATCTTTTTCTACTCACAGGGACCATCATGCTAATGTACCGCTAATGTAAGCTATAGATGTACTAATTATTATCAGGGGTTCCCTGAGACCGAAAAGTTATTTCAAGGGTTCCTCCATGTTAAAAATGCTGAGAAAAGCTGTACTATACAATCTACCCCCAAATGTTTGCATACACCTGACCATCACACCTTGAGCTTGTTGGACTTCCCATTCCAAAACCATAGAGCGAAAAGCATTTGTAAGGTCAGGTACTGATGTTGGATGAGAAGACCTGGTTCATAATTATCATTCAAGTTCATCCCAAAGGCCTGCAGTAGGGTCAAAGGTCTGTGAACATCACTCAAGTTCCTCAACACCAGGTTGGTCAAACCTTGTCTTTATTAAACTTTTCAGTATGGTTGAGGTCAGGGCTCTGAGAAGACCACTCAAGTTCCACCACAGCAATTTGTCAAATCATATCTTTATAGAGATGTTAAGTAAGATTGAAGTTAGGGCTCTCTGCAGACCACTCAAGTTCCTCCACACCAAACTGATCAAACTGTGTCTTTATGGAAATGTTCAGCAGGGTTGAGATCAGGGCTCTGTGAAGACCACTCAGGTCCCTCAACACCAAACAGATAAAACCGTATCTTTATGGAAATGTTCAGCAGGGTTGAGATCAGGGCTCTGTGAAGACCGCTCAAGTTCCTCCACGTCATATTGGTCAAACCCTATCTTTATAAAGATGTCCACTATGATTGGGGTCATGGCTCTGAAGACCAATCAAGTTCCTCCACACCAAACTGATCAAACTGTGTCTTTATGGAAATGTTCAGCAGAGTTCAGATCAGGGCTCTGTGAAGACCACTCAAGTTCCTCAACACCAAACAGATCAAACAGTATCTTTATGGAAATGTTCTGCAGAGTTGAGATCAGGGATCTGTGAAGACCGCTCAAGTTCTCCCACATCAGAGTGGTCAAACCCTGTCTTTATAAAGCTGTCCAGTACAGTTGGGGTCAGGTCTCTGTGAAGACCACTCAAGTTCCACCACACCAATTTGTCAAACCATATCTTTATGGAGATGTTAGGTAAGGTTGAAGTCAGGGCTCTCTGCAGACCACTCAAGTTCCTCTACACCAAACTGATCAAACTGTGTCTCTATGGAAATGTTCAGCAGAGTTGAGATCAGGGCTCTGTGATGACCACTCAAGTTCCTCAACACCAAACAGATCAAACAGTATCTTTATGGAAATGTTTAGCAGAGTTGCAATCAGGGATCTGTGAAGACCGTTCAAGTTCCCTCACATCAGATTGGTCAAACCCTGTCTTTATAAAGCTGTCCAGTATGGTTGGAGTCAGGTCTCTGTGAAGACCACTCAAGTTCCACCAATTTGTCAAACCATATCTTTATGGAGATGTTAAGTAAGATTGAAGTCAGGGCTCTCTGAAGACCACTCAAGTTCCTCAACACCAAACAGACCAAACAGTATCTTTATGGAAAATGTTTAGCAGCGTTGCGATCAGGGATCTGTGAAGACCGTTCAAGTTCCCCCACATCAGATTGGTCAAACCCTGTCTTTATAAAGCTGTCCAGTATGGTTGATGTCAGGGCTCTGAAGACCAATCAAGTTTCTTCACACCATACTGGTCACACCATGTCTTTATGGAGCTATTTAGTATGGATAAGGTAAGAGCTCTGTGTGGGCCACTCAAGTTCTTTTGGAGCAAACTGGACAAACCATGCCTTTATGAATCTGTTCAAAAGGCTTGAGGTCAGGGCTCTGTGAGGACCACTCAAGTTCCTCAACACCAAACAGATCAAACAGTATCTTTATGGAAATGTTCAGCAGGGTTGAGATCAGGGCTCTGTGAAGACCGCTCAAGTTCCTCCACATCAGATTGGTCAAACCCTGTCTTTATAAAGCTGTCCAGTATGGTTGGAGTCAGGGTTCTGAAGACCAATCAAGTTCCTCCACACCGAACTGGTCAAACCATATGTTTGTGGAACTGGTTTGGTAGACAGAGGTATAGTCATTCTGGAACAGAAATGGGTCTACCCCAAACTGTTATCATAAGGTTGGAAGAGGACAATTGTCTACAATGTCTTTGTGTGCTATAGCATTATCATTACCCTCCCATTAAAATACAACAGATTAATTGCACCATTTTACAAAGGAGGAGAGTGCTGACATTTTTTGGTTCTATTTTATATTAACAGTTCTGAATTTTTATTTTCTCTGTCCTTTAGCAGGAAGGAGAGATTTATTTCAGATCTCGGAATGTTTTGGAATAACAGTCTGCAGAGCCCG